GAAACCTAAACCCTTAAACCCTGAAGCCCTAAGCCCCTAAAAGGGGGGTTCCTATAATGGTGCCAACATTGTAGGTAGTATCATTAGGGGTACCCCTTAAAGGGTACCCCTTCTGAACCCTACTTTTGGCTCTCTTAAAAGGGACCTTATTGAGAGGGTCTATATCCCCAAGGGTCCCCCTAATCCTAGCTCCCACATTGGCCTCCACGGAGGGTCCATCACTGCCAGCACACGCAAGGCGGCGCTGGAGCGCACAAAGACCTGGAGGCATCTTAGGACAGGGTTTACCTGTAGCCGAAAAAACCTACCTTTTTAGGGTTCCTTATAAAGGTTTCGGTTCAGGGTTCGTTGAGGGTTTGGGGTTTAGGGTTTAGGGGCTCGACCGGCCTGGCCATCCTGAATCACCACGACGGTGGACCTGGGCAAGTCTCGCAGGCTTTGCAGGCTCTGGGAAACCCCAAAAAACAACGACCTGGACCCTAGAGAACCTACCTCTTTTAAGGGTCCTTCTTATGGTTTCCTTATATCCTGTTTAGGGCTCCTTCTTATGGTTTCCTTATATCCTGTTTAGGGCTCCTTCTGATGGTTTCCTTATATATAAGTCCTGAAAAAGGGTAGGTTTTTTTAGGGTCCAGGCAAGCCCTAAACCCCAAAACACTATGGAGATTTCATCGAAGGACCCTATAAGCCCTAAACCTTACACCTTTAACCCCTACACCCTGAACACCAACTGGGACATGGAGAAATTTTAGTCGAAGGTAACTGATCCTAGGCGAGCGTGATGTGGTGGCTTGGGGCTTAAGGGATTAGAATTGAAGGGTGATAGTTGGGGATTAGGGTTTAGGGTTTCGGGTTTAGGTTGGGGATTTCTGTCTGGATTCTCGAATTCCATAAAGGTGTCCAGGTACTAGACCATCACGAATGGCTGAGGTTCGCACGTTAAGGCTGGGGACGTCTGGAGTTCCGGGGTATACAAGTCAAGAGAACGGCGAAGTCCATCTGCGAAATTTGTGGGTTGACGGATGTCGGGATGCTGTGATGGTTTTTGCTATTCTGTCTGTCGTGTTCGCCCATCAGTGACTACCCGAATCATGGTGAAGGAATTTTGCTGCATGTGTCATGAAGCCACCTTGCATTTCTGTGCGAGTTGTTCTGCTGTGATGCATTGAAGTTTGTCGTTCGTTGCAGTTCCTGCGAAAGTTGCGCTTGTCCTGTTTCTCTCCCTCCCTCTGTCTGTCTCTCTCTCTCTCTCTCTCTGTCTCTCTCCCCGAAACCCTAAACCCTAAACCCTAAACCCTAAACCCTAAACTCTCTCTCTCTCTCTCTCTGTGCCGCTCTCTCCTCTCTCTCTGTCTACGTGAAGTTGTCAGGCACGCATCGGTACTCCGCTTCCTAACAAAACTTCCATCTACAGCGATCCACCTGAAGTAACCAGGGAGAAAAAAGTATAGACTTTCATTGTATAAGGGTTCCTTGAAGGAACAGGTCCCAAGAAAAGCATTAAAGTATGGTACTCCAAAGCCCAGTTTAGGGTCTCGGGTCGCAATATTGATGCGCATGTACAGACTTCGAAGCGCGCAAAATCCTGCGAGTGGCTTCCTGCTCCTCCCCGTCATGCTAGTGCTAATTTGATAGCACCTGCCGTCGTTGCTGCTGTTGCTGTGATAGAAACCCAAACCTTAAACCCTAAACCCTAAACCCCAAACCCCTAAACCCTAGATAGTAACGGTGACCCGCAATGACGGTCATGATGAGGCCATCTCACATAAAAACTCTACGGCCATGAACCTTGAACTCTTAGAGCTGAGTTTAGGGTTTAGGGTTTAGGGTTTAGGGTTTAGGGTTTAGGGTTTAGGGTTTAGGGTTTAGGTTAAACAAACAACAAGGCCGAACTATCACAAAACCAGAGGTCTGCTCTAAACAGAACCAAGCCCCGAAAACCCCGAAAGACCCCACCGGAGTTACAACCTATCCTCTCAAAGGACGCTTGTAGAAGCCTACAGAATCAAATAGAACCCTTAGAGAACCATAGAGTGCACCCTAAAATCCTTAATGTACAAACCCTTACAGTCATCCTTATGGAACGGTATAAACCCCTACTGGAACCCCTATAACAACCCTAAAGACTGAAACCCTCAACCCAGATGGAACCCTAAACCCCATTCAAACCAAGAAGCCCTAGACCCTAAACCCCCAAACTCAAAACCCAAATCCCTACAGCCTACGCCCTCACAGCACCCTTTTTTCGGCCCCCTTATGGAACCGTATAACCCTAAACCCTAGACCCTAAACCTAAACCCTAAACCCTAAACCCTAAACCCTAGACCCTAAACCTATAGAATACTTCAAAGGGCCTAAGCCCGAATTCGTTGAGACACCGAGCTCCCGACATCCCCTCCTCTCCACCCTCGGCATAGCGGCCGGCACCGTATCTGAGGAGAGAAGAAGGGATTTAGGGTTTAGGGTTTAGGGTTTAGGATCCCAGGAGCGCTACGGAAGAGGCATAATATAGGGGCCTTAATACTTCGAACAGGGTTTCTATAGGGTTCCTTTGAAGGGCCCCCTTAAAGGTTTCTATAAGGGCTACTATAAGGGTTTCGGGGTATAGGGGCCTTAATAATTCGAATAGGGTTTTGGGGGGCATTATGCTATAATTATAAATTATCAACCCGAAACCCCAATTCTAGAAGCACTCCTGAGAGGGGTAGCTGCCAATGAGGATGCTGCTTTTGGTAGCCCGACTGAGGGTTCTATGAGTTTTTTTGCGGGCATCTGAAGAGTTGGTATTCGGGGTTCAGGGCTTAAGTGGGTTAGATACAAAATAGAATTGCACAAGCGTCCTGCTCAAGGACTTCGCTCTTAACTTGCTGCGAAGGTATCAAGCCCGGGGGGCGGGGCTTAATGATTAGAATCGGGCTCCGGGCTCCAGTATATCTATATAAAAAGGAACCTGAAGGAATAATATAGGTAATTGTTTAGGGCTTAGGGTTTAGGGTTAATTAATTAGTCTTCTATATTAACGGATCAGATTGTCGAGCCAAGAGTTTCTAGCTTGGAGTGTTGCAGGCTTGCGTGGGTTTTGTGATTTAGGATGTAGGGTTTAGGGTTTAGGGCTACAGCGGGTTTGCTAACATAGGGGGTGATAAAAATGCTGATAACTAGGGCTTGCACCGCTTTGGGGGATCGTTTTGGGTTGTATAGGGCTGCTCGGGGTGTTTAAGGTTTGGAGTTTGGGGCCAAGGGATGTAAGGAGCAAACAAAAAACGCTATCCGGGCCCATTGTACTACAATTATGATAAGGAGCCCCCTAAATAGTCTTGGTAATTATTTAGGCCCGTATATTAAATACTAGGCGTAGTCGCAATACTTCGAGGCACTCCTCATCGTCTAAGTCTTCAAGCATCGACAAGACTTTCTTTGCGAAGTTCATCACGGTTTGGGCTTGAGGCGTCTCCTCGACATGCTTGCCCGTGTGTTGCACTGGGAACACCAGTTCCGTTCGTCAGGGATCGTATCAGACTATAACACACGACCCCAAGATTGGAAAACGGCGCGCAATGCCGGTCGTAAGATCAGGGCCAGTGGGGCTCTCGTGCACCTTGCAAAATCGTAAGTTGATAGCTGCACAGCGGGTTGCAATAATTGGCAGTCCACCTTGTGGTCCAGTTTTTCTCCTTCCCTGCTCAACACAGTTCGATCGCACAGAGGCTGGAGCAATGAACGTATGTCTTTCCCCTCTCTGTGTTTGTCTGCATATACATGCGAACGTCATTGTTTATTCAGGGCAAAATATGCTTGCATTGAAGTTTAACTGACATTGCATCAACTCTTACTTGCCACCTTACGACCAACTCTGCTTGAGAATACTCATTTGAAACGCCCTGATGCTGGACGGAATCTGAGCAAGAAACCCGGAATATCCAATAATACCAGAGTCTGAACGCCACCTTACATGGCCTGCATACTCAGACTGAGGATAATGTTTCGTTCGCGAAAACCATGCGAACTATAAGCCCTAACCCCCAACCTTAAGGCCCACCCCTCCGCCCCTAAACCCTACCGATAGTCTCCATTGTAGTTCCTTTTTTGGTTTAACCAAATATATTTTAAGGATTTTATAAGGTATCCCGGTATCCCCAAAAGAAACTACAATAGACACTATAGGTAAACCCTAAACCAAAAATCCAGCACTCAGCCCTGCGGCCTTTCCAAGAGCTCCTTGTGTCTCTGCAGCGCGCCGAAGCGGACACCTCAAACTTTAATTTCTCTGACACAGAGCTCAGGGTTGTCGTTCGCCAGCGAGATTACTCGAAACAAGAGTGGAGGCAGAGCTTCAGCTACAGCTTATCATTGATACATACAGGGTTCACAATGGTTCAAACTGCTTGGCTGCAATAGTTCCTGCATCACTAAAGAGTCGGCCGACCTTCTGGTGGTGATGAGCTTGGTCTTTCCAACCAATGTTTGTCTTGTGCTTGCACGGAATCATGGTTCTGGGTCCTGATCTTGCATAGCTAGAGGCAGTTTAGAACTTCCTGGTGCAAGTCAAGACATGTGTCAAGCACCCATGCGCGCCACCAACATGTTCAATTACACTGTTTCTGCGCAAGGTGATTGCAAGCCTATCCGAGCCCAGCATTGATTCCAGGAATCACGGCGCCCACGGACCGATCCAGGAACTGTACCCCCAAAACAGAATCTGCACAAATACTGCATGCACTGCCCCAATCTACATATCATCCGAATTTATATGGCTGAATTTCTCACAACAATCCCTGTAGAGTAGGCAAACGACAAGCCCACACTTCCATGGCCCATTGCTGTATCCTCCGTTTGCTTTCCAGGCTCCCTACAGTGGCAAGCTTTTTGTTCTTTCCGTCTGCGCATGTCATGAGAACTCTAAGTTCCCTGGATCCCTGGTAGAAATTCTAATGTCAGCTGGCTATGTGGACTATAGGTACAAAACTTAAAATCCATTTTCAGGGAACTTCCAGGGAATGCTACTGTGTGAGGTGCCAGGGAAGTTTGATGCCAAGCCTTTCCGAAATCCACTGCTGGCACTCGTTCTTTGTGGTGACTTCCTGGGGCGCCATGACCTCCCCGGCCTTCAACTCCACCTCGAGACTACGTAGCTTGGAGGCTATAGCCTCCAGTTGAACAGCCAGCTCCTGCACCTCCAAAATCGTGCTCTCACCTCCCCGTGATGGAACCTGAACATCTGGAGGGTCCCGAGCCGTCCCATCAAGTAAGGCCTGGACTTCTTGGAGTTTGAAGCTGTATTTGGCCTTCTGCACCGCTTGCTCGGCAGACTGAATGGCGAGCTCGAGGAATTTCTTTGCTAACAGTGGCTCTGTAGAAGCCGTGGAGGAGCCGTAGTTGTAAAGGGCGGTGCTGAATTCTTTATTACCCCGACAGTACGTCAGCAGTGTCCAGCACACACATGCCTCAAAAGCCAAAGCTGCCAAGTGACACTTGTCTGCTTTGAAGGCTGCCACGCCTTCTGCGGCACAGTGTTGCGCATGTTGGCGGTGCAGTTTCAGCCTTTGCTCGTGTTCCTCATGCACAGTTTCCACCAAACAAACACTGAGCTGCTGCCTCCAGCTGCCATCCCAAAAGGGTGCATTGCCAGTGATGAAATGCATGTTCAGCTGTTCGAATAAAGCATCCAACTTTTCTCGGCCTTTCTCCGGCAGCATACTACAACAAGCTTGCCTTGCTCCCAGGATGAACTCTTCCTGAGTTGCGGTTGAGGAACTTAAATCAAGCCACCATATTGGGTACATTTGACAAACAATAATATGTAGGGTTTCCCCCAATATAGTCACTTTTTAGTACGTTCCTTAAACAGCAACCCAGCTGCTGTGGTACTATCTGCAACCATATCATGAAGACCGTTCAGAAGCCCCTCTGGAGCTCCAGAGGAAACATCATTGACGCTCTGAATGATGCTGTCCACCACAAACTGATGAAGACCCATGCTGTCCTGCCTGAGGCGCAGAACATGAGCCAAAAACAGACATCGATCATGGTCTCTGCCAGGGCTCATCCTTCGTGGCTTTCAAGGAACTTAAAACTACCAGGATAAGGACGCCCTTTGACACTTTACTGTAGATCTGCCTGAACCCTCAACTCTACACGAAATGTTGGTCAGTTGAAAAAAGCTCCTTGACAGAAGCTTAGCATCTGAATCGCCAAAATATCTTCTGGGCGCATTTTGGAGAGGCCGTACAGCGTGTTCCATATCTCAGGTTGTTTAAGACCCTTGGCAAATTCCTGCCGCACTGCATCCAGCAGAGGACTCAAGGTAGATGTGATGGGAAGTCCTTGTATGAAACTTTGGATTTTCTCTGGCAAGAGATTCGCGACCGCAATGCTGCACCAGTGCCAACAATCAAAGACTAAATGTCCCACTGGGTCTCCCAGACGTAGCAGCTTTAAATGGTCGCAAACCTTCGTAGCCGCCGTGATTGCCACAGCCCGAGGGTGTTTCACCACAAAACTTGGCATCGAGCTACAAGCAACCTTGGGCCGGCTCAAAGCGCCCCCCGCCAGCAATTCCACGCTCAAGTCTGTTAAGCCAGCCTCCGCTGTGTTTGGAGAGGAGATCTTTCTGAACTCTGCTGAAAGGCCGCCAGTTCCAATATGCTCCATCAAGCGGTTCCGGTTTGCATAGCAGTCTGCATCCGTCTCATTCGTATAAATAAGAATCTTTGCATGCTCTCCAACCCAGGCGACTTCCGACTGCAGGAAGCTCAGGCTCATGGCGTTATCCACGTGGGTCATTGAAGCGCGAGAGGTGCGCAGGATAACACAAATGGCACATTGGCCGATGTTTGATGTCGTGAGACCATGTACCCCAACCAGGCCTGTGCCGCCATCAACCCTCCCTGTGCATGCTTGTGGGATATCTACGAATGTTGCCGGAGGCATCTGGTGATGCAATTTGGCCAGCCTTCCAGGAGCAAGGAGTTTGGCATCCTTGGCCTCATGCCCATCCAGTTGAATCTGATAGCGACCATCATGACGATCAGCCAGAACTGTACCCAGCAAACCATTCAATGCGGGCTTATTCACTAAGCCTTTCAGCTTCACTCTATCCCCCTTGCGAAAGATGGGATCGCCCATGGCTACTGCACATGATGCTGAGTGCAACCCGAAGCCCACAGGTGCCCTTGCCCTTCGTGATTTGCTGCACCTCGCTATCCGTTAACTGTTAGAAGTTAGAAGCAATCCCACTCTGGACCATTATTCAGATTCCAGGAAGTCGTGTAGTGATAAGGGCTGCACCGAGAAAGCAACACTGGATCGCGACAGCCCTGCCTTGACTACCTCTTCAGCCGTTTGAGCAACCCTAGTTGTGCAACTGAGGGCCTGTATCCTTAAAGTAGGGGCTGTGGGGGGGGGGGGGGGGGGAAAGGCTTCTACATTAAGTGCACGGGTACCGCTGCCGCTGCACGCTGTAGGGCTAAGTTTTAGTTTAGGGCTAAGTTTTAGGACTTCAGTGATTCAGGGTCTAAGGTAAAGGGTCCAGGCAGCGTTAGACTATGAAGACAATGCCTGGAGAGTCTTTGGAGACTTGTGACTATTTACGTGTGTGTAGGATTTTGTCCTGGCTGCTAACTGGCCCAATCCTTTATGTGTTCCTATTCCCCATTGACCTGAAAGCCTAGGTACCCAAACAGCCCTGAACATCATGGCTGAACCCGCAAACAAAAAACCTTAGATCCTTTGTTCCTCATGATCCTAATGGAACGGGTATTGACTGAATGGCCGGTCTTTACTTGCATCGCCCGGCTTGTTCCCTAAACCTGTAAGCCCGTACACAACACTTCTAAAACCCGTCATAGAACCCTCACCCCCCCAAGGGCCCCAAGCCTTAAACCCAAAACCGTCCCAAGCCCAAGCCCCTGCAGACGTCAACGAAGACGAGGCACGGCCCTGCGCATCGCCGGCGTAGACGAAGTTGACGAACCCGTCACACAGGTTGCAGACCTTGGAGATTTTTCGGTTTAGGGTTTAGGACTTGGAGTTTAGAGTTTGGGGTTTAGTGGAACCGCTTGTGGCTTTTGGGTCTGCCTGGACCCTAAAGAACCTAGCTTTTTGAGGACTTGTATAAGGAAATCCGTCTAAGGAAGCCAGCTTGTCGCTTTGGGGTCTATTGTTGGGTGCCCCGGGCATAGAGATTTACAGTTGCTTGCAAGGCTTAGGGTCTATAGGCTTCCAGCAGAGAAAACCCAGATGTTTCAGTTGTTGCAGGGCTTTGTGCTGGCTTTCTTTATACTATATACAGAGCCCAAATACAAACTTAAAACAGCTTAACCCGTATTACCAGCACAAAACAATGTACCTGCCAAACAGTAATAAGTACTTCTAAGTACAGGTCACCCTTTGGATACCAGGATATTGACTATCAGCTACCTTTACTCCCTAAACCCTACACCCTAGACCCTAAACCCTTCTACTATCAAACCTCCTGAACCAGGTAGCCGAAGCCTTGCTAGGTTGCGCCCTAGAAAGCTTCTGAACATATTCGTACATAAAAAATCCTCTTATAAGAGGTTTAGGGTTTAGGGTTTAGGGTAAAGTCCCAAAGGCGTACCTAGTTACCAATACTTAATCCCAAAACAGTGCAAAACCTACACACCACCTTGGGTCTCCAGATGCCCTAAAACGTCGGAGCATCTCAAACGTAGAGCACGGCTGTGCATTGAATTGTGTCAAGGTTCAGTGTTCTTTTGACGGTTCATGTTAAGGTTACGTTCCTTGTTACCTGTCCCTTGAAGAGCAAGTCGAAGGTTGATATGATTGACGGGTTTAGGGTTTAGGTAGGGTTCAACCTGATCCGGGTTTTAGGGAATTGGGTCTTAGATCCGGAGCTTCAGCTTTCATTCTTTCGGGGCTTTAGAGTTTGGGAGACAGTTTAAGATGGAGGGTCCTGCGCTGAAGGTTGCGGAAGGATTTCATGTGTAGGTTGATAAGGGTTAGGTATCATAAATCATGGATGTCGTTGCAGTATATGAAGTAATGAAAGTAGCCAGACAATGAACTGTTCAGCGGTACAACAACAACGACATGTTCGTTGAAGGTGAAAGTCACGATAAGAATAACCTCGCTGAGGGTGGGCTGGAAGTTCGAGGTCAACACCACCAAGGGCGTAGGCGTGAAGGACTCCTTGCCTCCACGGTAGAGGCCACGGGAAGCGATCTCTGCCCCTCGTTGTTCCCAAAGTGGCCTCAGGAGCGCCATGGAGATGCGGCGGTTGAAGCGGGCGCCGTCGGTGGCCGAGAGGAAGGGCGAGCAGCCCTCGATGGCTTTGTTGGTGCCCTTCATGGCCTAAGCCCACTTCAGAGGCGCGCAGTAACCGCCCGTAGAGCCCCGGTTTAGGGTTTAGGGTTTATAGGGTTTAGGGTTTTAGGGTTTAGGGTTTAGGGTTTAGGGTTTAGGGTTTTAGGGTTTAGGGTTTAGGGTTTAGGCTTCTGGAAGATGGCAGATCCTTGCCGCTCTACGCCGGTCCGCAATTCCAGAGCAGCTCGCAGAAAGGCATCTGCACATCGTCATGACAACCCTGATTAAGCTTTAGTTTAGGGTTTATGACCCTAAAACCCTAAACTAAGGGTCTAGTTTAGGGTTTATGACCCTAAAACCCTAAACTAAGGGTCATAGGGTTTTAGGATCATAACCCTATGGGTTGGCCATTGAACCCTAAACCTTTCGTTCTTACACCTTCACCTCCCCGAAAGCCACGGAACCCTACCTGTAGACACAATGCCGCTCCTTTTTCAGTCAATGCTTCAACCATGTACAGCATAACCTTCAGAAGGAACTAGCATAGGGTTTAGGTTTAGGGATGCTTATAGGGTTTTGGGTTTAGAGTTTAGAGTTTAGGGTTTAGGGTTTAGGGTTTGGGTTTAGAGTGTACTGCCTGGGGGTTGGAACGCACTTTCACATCCTATCTCTCCTAATCGTGAATTCGAGAAGCTTGAGACCGCCCAACCCTAAATCGTAAACTCTAACCCTAGGACTCTAAGGACTCATATTTTAAGGCTTTTGGGCCCAAAGACCCTATTACAATATGTAAGGCTTTTGGGCTATTTTGATGCTAAGGGTAAACCCCATCCTACCGCGGAAGCGGTGGCTTCGGGAACCCTCGACCCTAAACACTATCCTGACCCCGACAACCTACCTTCTTTCGGATTCCTTATAAAAGTCGTGCAAGAGGCAAAGTCACATGTTGGGTTAGGGTGGACCCCTGAACCCAAACTCCTGTACCCAGCTGCAGGGTGACCTTTTTGGAAAGAAATCGATGCTGCTCTTCACCCGATCATTGGGGTGCGTCATCAACGCTAAACCCGAAAACCCGAAACACCCAGCCCTAAACCCCGTAATGAACCTTATGTTTATAGCTCAATAACTTGTTAAACCCTAAACCCCGCAACCCCTAAGCCCTAAAACGCGTCATCAGCCAGCAAGTAGCGCGAAGCCCTTTGGTAGAAGCCCTTTGTGACCTCCCATGCCTCCATGGCTGATTGCCGCATCGAACGTCGGGTCGCAAGTAGATCTTCGGCACTTAAGTGAGCAAGCTGATGCAACAGGTCCTTGGGTTTAGGGTTTCAGGGTTTAGGGCTTTGAATTAATAAGGCAGCCATGAAAGTCAGGCGTGAAGGGAGATAAGAGCTTTGTGTAAAGTGTTCGTTCTGAGGGGCTTTTCACGAGGGCTTTGTGTCTTTTTTGCCCAGTCTTTTTCAATTCCACAAGGATCCTCGCTGTTGGAGCCTTAATGTTGGGATGCCGAGGCGGAAAATCCTTACAGCGGGAGGGCGACGTATTCATCAGGGGTCAGCAGTCGTGGCTCCCATGAAAAAGCAAGCCACCGAAGACGAAAGCAGCCCTCAACGCCACAACACAAACGGAAACATTGCCGCACGTCAGATTCCTAAGACCTACCTGGACCCTAAAGAACCTACCATTTTAAGGACTTATATAAGGAAATCAGAAAAAGGAGCCCTAAAAAGGTAGGTTCTGTAGGGTACAAGCAACGGTAAAGCCGAAACTCTGAACCCTAAACCCTAAACCCTAAGAGCCAAACTCGGAACCGAAAGATGACCGAAGCAGAAATACCTGCCCTAGTAGTCAGAATACGGTTGAGGGTTTAGGGTTTATAGAGT